GACATCTCAGCATTCCCTCTGGCCCTCAGCAAGGCAATGGGGCAAAGCTGGGGCAGGTTTGGTTCCATCTGGCTCTGCCACTTCCCCTGCCACGGGGCAGGTCTGAGCTGGTTCCCACATTCCATGTTCTTAACACCCACTGCAAACACAGGAAGGATTTTTTTGGGGTTTTTTTAGGTTTCAAAAATCCCAGTGAGCACTGGGAGTCCTCTGGAAGTTCTTCCTCTCGTTGCTGCTCATTAAGCACAGAATCATAGAATGGTTTGGGTAGGAAGAGACCTTAAAGCTCATCCAGATCCAACCCCCTGCATGGGCAGGGACACCTCCCAGCAGCCCAGGCTGCTCCAAGCCCCATCCAACCTGCCCTTCAACACTGCCAGGGATGGGGCAGCCACAGCTTCCCTGGGCAGCCTGGGCCAGGCTCTCACCACCCTCACTGGACAGGGAGGAGCTGCTGGCTCTGAGTGAGGGGTGATTGCAGCTCCTCCTGGTGGGATGGCATCTGCACCCAAGGAAGCAGCAGCATTTCAGGGTGCACACTGAACTGGTGGCCCAGCTCATTATCCAGACACAGGCACAAAGGTGACATCCCAGGGAGGACTTGGAATATCAGCCCCCATGACCCTCTGAGCCTTCATCTGTTCTCCAGGAAGAAGTTATGGGAGTGCTCAGAGGAACAGACAGATATATAGATCAGAGAACCAGCAGATCATTGCTGTTGGAAAAGACCTGTAAGATCCTCAAGCCCAACCCTTCCCCCAGCACTGCCAAGGTCACCACTGACCCATGTCCCTCAGCACCATCTCCAGGGCTTTGAAACCCCTCACAGCTCTGGGGAGGGGGGACAGTCTCAGTGCAGCAGCAGCTGCAGGAACCTGACAGTGACACCAGGGGTGAACCCAGTTCTGTGAAGTGAGACAACACAGTTTAACATCCCTGGAGAGAGGTGGGCAGCATCTTTGGGCAGGTTGATGTCTTGCTGAGGTCCAGGAATGCAGGGAGCTGTGTCAGGGCAGGGCCTGCTGGGCAGGGCTGACCTTTGAGAGGCAGGAGAAATGTTTCCTCTTGGAGCTGCTCTGCAGAGATAATGAGTTTTACAAATAGATTTCCTGTTCTTTTTATAGAAGAGGGGAAGCTGGCAGATGGCATCTGAGCTTGCTTTACTGAGAGCTGGACATAATTATGCTTGCTGGGTAACCTGGTGTTCCTTAAAACATGGTTTTCTCTGGTCTGATTCAAAGCATCCCAGCAGGGTTCAAACAGGCTTCAGTGGGAGGAGGGAGGAGCATTGGGGAGCAGCCAGACAGGGCCTGGTGGGTCCCTGGGAATTACCCCAAGGCACAAACTGCCCTGTGATCAGATCAAAGGTCCCTCTAGTCCTGTGCTATCTCCAGCAGTGACAGGAGGTGACAGCATGTGAGCCCAACCCTTTATTCCATCTGCTCCCCAGGGCTTCTCCAGCACCCACCTCGCTGGGTAACAGAAGTTAGAGGGTTTATCCTTCTCTGTGGCTTCTGTTGGCCAGAACCACGTTTTAACCCATGGGTACCCCTGCCTCTACAGCCCCATCCTGGCAGGAGGATGTCAGCTCACAGGTCCCACAAGACAGAGGCAGGGTTTCATGTTCCTGCAGGGCTCTGCTGGGCCACAGCAGGACAGAGGTTTCACATCAGCTCCAAACCAAACCCTTGTGAAAGCCTCCAGGATACCCTGCATCTTTGTTTCCTAACTTCATAGCATCATGGAATCCTTTTGCTTGGAAAAGACCTTCAAGATCATCAAGTCCAACCATTCCCCCAGCCCTGCCAAGGCCACCACTGACCCATGTCCCTCAGCACCACCTGCAGGGCTGTTCCCTGGGCTGCTGCCTTTACCTTCACCTGGGCAGGCTCCATCCTCTTGCCAGGCACTTTCCCATGCCTCCCCTGTGCTCCTCTCACCCCAGTGGAGGTGTCCACTGGCCACACCTCCAGACCTTAGACCCTGACCCAGGGCACATGGGCACCATCCAAACAAACCTGCAGCACCAGCCCCACTCCTCCTCCTCCCAGAGTCCTGCCTGAGGACTCCTGGATGCCACCACCATCCATCCCCCACACCTCCTCCCTGCCTGCAGACACAACCCAACAGATGTGAGACCAGAGCAGCAACGTGGAAGTGTCTTTGTCATTATTTTGCTTTAATGAAGCCTACTATTCTTGTTATAAATGACCAGCCTGGAATCCCATTAGATTCTTTGTCCCAGTGACTTCTTGTAGCATTTCATTGACCATCTCCATACCCTTGGTGGGGAGACATGGAAAGCAGGACCCCTGCTCCCTCTCTCCAGGCCATTTGGTCCCTCCAGTCCTTGGCCAGGTTGTTTCCAGCAGGGACCATTTCCAGGTGCCTTCTCCAGGCTGTGCAGCATTTGGATGCCTGTCTGTGGCCTGATCTTCAGGCTGGAGCCAACCAGGACCTGGTGATGCTCTTGACATGACTCCACCATTTCCCCCTCAGGATTCCTGACACTTGTTTGCTCTGGGGAGCACCCTCAGCCCCTTGCAGCTCCATCTCTTGCCACCAGTGCCAAGTCAGGGCTGCAGACACAAGCAAAGCCTTGCATGGCATGACGAGTGGCTGAGGAACAAAGGGAGGTTTACTGGGACCAGTGCCAGATCACACACCTTGCAAACCCCATTCGTGAGCCTGGCCAGGGGCACAGATCCCTGCTCCACACAGGAAACAAGAGGCAGAGCCAGGATGAGCCTGGGGTGAAGGGACCTGAGCTGCTTGAATACTTGCAATCCAGCTGTGCCAGCTGCCAGGCTGGGACCTGCCTCCCTCAGCTCTCCCAGCACTGCTGGGTGGGATCTCCAGGTGCATGGGCTGGGTCAGCCTTGGTCACACCCTGGTGGGAGCCTGGCAGCAGTGCCAAGGCAGCCCCAGCTCCCTGGTTCACCCAGTTAACACTGTGCTGCCACTCTGGGCTTTGGGCACCTTGGACCACACTTGCAGGTGGCACCACTGGGGTGGCACCTATTTCAGATGTGAGGGAGCTGATGGCCGGGAGGGGGTTAAATATTTCCCCACAGGGAATGAACTCGTGGCCCAGAACATGATTCCCACAGCTCCAGCTTCATGAGCCTGGACTCCAGGGAACAAACCAATTGAGCTGGCCTGGTGGGCACCTGCTGGCCCCAGCAGCAGGACCTGGTAGCCTCTGCTTTTCCCTGAGCAGCAGGATCTGTTACCCTCTGCTCTGCCCATGTCTCCTGATGCTGTGCAGAGCATCCCTCATAGCCAGGAAATTAAAGGGCTCAGAGGGGTTGTGGCTCCAGGAGGCTGCAGAGCCTGGGACTGCAAACAGATCTGGAAAAGTGGGTAGAACAGGAGGGCTTGGGCACATTGGCTGTATCAGGGACCACGGAGCAATGGTCTGGAGCAACCTCTGGCTGCTGTGAACTGGCAGGTGGACATAAACCAGGAGAAGGTCTGCATGCCCAAAGCCTTGCCCTTTCCTCCAGCCTTCCTGGGGAGCTGTTGGTAGATGTGGGATCCAGGGTTAGAGAAACCTGAGGGCTCCTTCCTCTCCTCAGCAGCTGATGGAGGTTGTCACCCCCTGCCTGTTTGAAACCAAAGAGTTTTGGTTTCAGGTCTCATACTACAAATTCTCCCCATGCACACCCCCCACCCCAGCCTCTCCCCCTCCCATGGCCCCTGGGGAGCAGCAGGGCTGCCTCAGCATCCCCAGGCTGGAAAGGAGCCTGCTGGTGGTCTCCTCTTCTGTGTTCCTCTTCTGCTCAGCACCAGCCACACCCTCACCCCCTGGTGGGTGTCAGGGCCTTTGAGGCCCTGCTGGGGAGTCCCACTGGGCTGATGAAGGGGGGCCTGCAGCAGCACTTCTGAAAAATCAGCCTCTCATCTCTGCCTGAACCCAAAATGAAGAGCTAGACATCCTGGCCCTGTTTATCCCAGCCCAGCTCCTGCTGCCCATGCTGAGGCCAATTCTTCAGGCTGAGAACTTTGCATTCCAAATTTGCATTTTACAGTCAGTCAGGCCTGGTGAAAATACAAAATTCAAGTAAAAACCCATGCAGGAAGGATCCATGTCTTCCTCAGTGACCTGCCTCACAGCACGTGCCTGTTCAGAGCAGGAACACAGGGTGGTGCAGGTGACGTGTCTCACCCTCCTGGGCTCCAGTTCTGGCTGCACAAGCAGGTTGGGGTTCATGGGTGTCTCTGGCAAACATCAGAGCCAGTGCAGAGATGCTGCCAAACAACTTGGCCTCTGCAGGCCTGGAGGAAAAGTTGTTCCTAAACATCTTCTGCCAGGAGGGGTAAAAATAAGGAGAATGTGATGCTGCAGCTTGTCTGGAGCCTGTGGAGCAATAAATGAAGGTTGTGAAGGCTTCACCTGGGCAAGGAGTGAGCTCCACTCTGCAGCCATGTCTCAGCCAGCTGCCACAACTGGTCAATGACAGGAAAGTCCTGACCATGGGTGTCACATCATGTCCTCCCAAGCTTTGGTGAGGTGTGTTGCCTGTTCTGGTGGCCACCTCTGACACCAAGTGGTCTGGAGATACATTGCCCTGCTTCTTCTCTCAGCTGACTCTGGATGAGCCTCCCAGTTTGTACATGTGAGCTGTAGTTTGCAGGCAGTGATGGTCCCTCCTGGTATTACCCACACTCTGAAGCTGGATGGCTCCTCCTCTCTGCTGACACATCTTGCAGAAGCTCCTCTGTGGAGCCAGGCTACTTGAGAGCTTTGCTTTTCCCACCCCTTGATGTTGGGTGAGCCTGGATGAGCCTCGTTGGGCTCAGCTGCAAAATCCTGTTCCCTTTTCTTCTGGGATGATGTGGATGAAACACCAAGTTCATTTTCACACTGGAGACCAGCACAGTGTGTTTCACCTGGAGGAAGGAGCCTGACTGGGATGAAACCCCTCAGGAGAGTACAAGAACATGTCTGTTTATGACTAACCAACAGAGGTGGGTGGAGGGGAGAGAAGCCTTGCTCCTCAGCGATTAAAGAAGAAGGACTTGAGGCTCTGCAGGAACTGGGACTTCTGCCTCTGCTTCTGCTTCTTCCTGATGATGGGGACCCAGACCAGGCCACACACCAGGAGCATCAGCCCCAGGGACAGGAAAGCGGGGCCACACATCTTGTAAACGTCCTTGTTGCTGTTGAGGAAGCAGGGCAGGCTGGTGATGACTATTCCCAGCAGGAAGGTGGCTCCTCCCACGGCCATGACCACGATGGGCTTGTGGTAGATCTCCCACTTGCTCCTGGGGGGGCTGGTCCAGACGGACTCGCTGCGGGAGCTGATGCAGAGGGTGCTGGCTGTGTTGCTGCTGCTCAGCAGCTCCTTGGACTGAGGAGACTTCTCACTCTCCTCAGGGCTCTTGGCAGGGGTTTCCATGGTGGCAGGATCTGATGGAGGAGACCTGAGGTGGACAACAGGGAAAGAAGGCTGGTGATGGAAGGCGGGCTGGGCGCTCTGCTTCTGGGCAGAGGTCAGTGCCACAGCAAGGGGAGGTGGAGGAGGCTTTGTGGGTCCCTGCAGGGAGGGCAGCATCACATCTGTGAGAGCAAGGAAATGTAGGGTCCTGCTGATGCTGCCTGCAGAGTTCCACTGCCCAGCCTTGGACAGTGGGATCACCACAGACCCTCTCCCTGTCCTGCCACAGACCTTCCAGCTGACCAGCATCTATCTCCTACAGGGATTCAGTGGTGGGGTGATTAGATGTCCACTGGGACACTGAATGCACACATAGGAGATAGGGAAATGCTCCTCACACAGGGGTGTTCAGCCTGGAGAAGAGAAGGCTCCAGGGAGACCTTAGAGCAGCTTCTAGTGCCTGAAGGGGCTCCAGGAAAGCTGGGGAGGGACTTGGGACAAGGACAGGGAGGGATGGGATGAGGGGGAAGGGTTTCCAGCTAGAAGAGGAGAGATTTAGATGAGATATTTGGAGGAAATTCTTTCCTGTGAGGCTGGTGAGACCCTGGCCCAGGTTGCCCAGAGAAGCTGTGGCTGTCCCATCCCTGGCAGTGTTGAAGGGCAGGTTGGATGGGGCTTGGAGCAGCCTGGGCTGCTGGGAGGTGTCCCTGCCCATGCAGGGGGTTGGATCTAGATGATCTTTAGTGTCCCTTCCAACCCAAACCACTCTGGGCTTCTATAACATTTTCCTCCAGCTGCCAGCTGGGCTGGGCTGTGGGTGAGCTCCTGGGCTGGGGAGCAGGATCTCACCAACATTCACTGCCTTGGGCAGCTGGGTCAGCACTGTGGCTTCTTGAGGCATTGTTTTATCACCAAGTCAAGGAGGAAATAGAGTTTCCCAGAAACAAAGTGCCTTTAGAACAGAAAAACCATTATAGTAAATGGGAAGGGCTGAGCATTATGTTAACCACTGTTGCCTCAGGGCTCTGCTGAGGAGGCTGGATCAGGGAGTGCTTCTGATGGACCTGCCCTGCTGCTGCAAAGCCCAGCAGAGATAGACCCATGAGAGTACCAGTGGTGAGGAGGGTGGGAGAGGCTGGGGTGGTGGGTGCTTTGCACCCAGGGATCAGGTTTTATTTGCAAAGCCATCTCCTGTCTGAGCTGCCAGGTTTTTTTCCCCAGGGGCTCTGTTATTTGTTGAGGTTGTCCCCAGCCTCAGGCCATGGGGATGCTCTGCAGCAGGAGCAGGACAGCAGCCCAGGACCCTGCACTGCTCCCTGCCAGCACCACAGACACAGAGCCATTGGTGGCAGCTGCCAGTCCCAGGCCTGTCCCTGGGGGGTTTCTCCCTGCAGGGCAGTGGTTGAGCCCAAACCACATCCACCCTGGCCTGGTGGGGCTCAGCTGGGTGGGCAGTGGCACCAGAACACTCTGCCCACTCCACTGCCAAGCAGAGCTCTGCTAAGCACCAGGAAAACTTTGTGCATAAGAGCAGCTCATCCAAACCCAGCACCAGCCCTGGCTTGGCAAATGCAGCCCTGTGGGCTGCCCAGTCCAGCCCTGGGTGCACCCACACACTGGAGACACTGGTGAGAGCCTGGCCCAGGTTGCCCAGGGAAGCTGTGGCTGCCCCATCCCTGGCAGTGTTGAAGGGCAGGTTGGATGGGGCTTGGAGCAACCTGGGCTGGTGGGAGGTGTCCCTGCCCATGCAGGGGGTGGGACTGGATGATCTTGAAGGTCCCTTCCAACCCAAACCAGTCTGGGATTCTGTGAACCATGGCTGTCCCCTGGGGTGGCTCAGCAGCAGGGGCACAGCCAGGTGACACGGGGCTGGATCTGCATCCCCCTCCTGCCCCTGGCAGGGCTGTGGCTGCAGGGGGAGCAGGGAGGTGCAGGTGAGGTGAGTGTGGAGCCCCAGCTCATCTCCCAGTGCTGCTGATGGGTGTGAGAGCAAGCACCAGGCCAGTGCCACCACACAGGGCCTGGCACAGCTCCACAGGCACACTCTGAAGGAAACCTGCCTGTATTTGGGCCATCCTGGGCCCAGTGCCCACCTAGGGATGCTGGTTTGGCTGGGTGCCAGCCAGCACCTCCCGTGTTCTCTCACCTGTGTCCCCTGCCAAGGCTTGTGGATTATTCTGAATAGAGACAGATGTAGCTTTTCAGTTTAGTCTTCCCAAACCAGATGCTGGTGGAGAAATGCAGATCTGGAGGTTTGGACGTATTTTGTGATATTTCAGGTTAGTCAAACTGGGACCCACAAGCAAAAAACAGGAGCCGAGAGCAAAGGACACATCATCCATAGTTTTCTGGACAGCCAGAGGCAGAGGAGGGGGCACATTTCTGCCATCCTGATCTATGTTCTACAGCACTTGCTCTTGGATGATCAAAGCACTTGACAAGGCAGGTAAGTCTGGTCACAGCAGCAAGCTCTGGTTTCTCATCTTCACTTGCTACCCCTGTCTCTGGCTGCTGGGCTGGCAGCAGGGGAGCACACTGACCCCTTGGCCCTGCAGCAGCACAGGCTGCCAGGAGATATTGTTCTGGTGGCTCTACAAACCATGTTAGGTGTGCAGGGGATCGGGTACAGCTTCCTCTGCTGCCAGCTTCTGAGATGCAGCCCCCCTCCCTGCTCCTCTGAGTTGTGGCTCCAGGCAGCCACAGGCTCCTCAGACAGCAAACACAGCCTGCCAGTGATGGCTGGTGTTCTGGGGAGGTGGTGAGGCTGGATCTGTGTGGGCCAGAACTTTTGTTCTACCTAGAAAACCTGCCCAGGAGTCAGCCTGGACTTCCAGAAAAACCCCACTAGCTGCAGTTCTGTGAAGGCAGCATAGAACCATTCGGGTTGGAAAGGACCTTTAAGATTATCAAGTCCAACAACGAACCCAGCACTGCCAAATCCACCCCTAAACCACATCCCTCAGCACCCCGTCTACACAGCTTTGAAACCCCTCCAGGGTTGTGCCCAGCTCTGGGGTAACACCTTGCCTGGCTGGTGTGTGCAGCCTGTCCACCTGCTGCCTTGCTTGGGGGGTTGCTGTGTTGTCACCCCCTCTCTTCTAGCTCAAATCTTTTACAAGGCTCCTCCTGAAATGTCATCCTAGCTCCTCATGGCACTTCTTGGCTTTCTCCCTGTGCCATCCATTGTGGAGAGGTTTTATGATCAAGCCACTGTATAATTTTAATTTGTCTTTGCGGTTGGAAATTTGCTTTCTTCTTTGGAACAGAGCCCAGCTCTGAGATCTCATCAGCCTAATGCAGCCTGCCCTGCCCCATCCTTCAGGCACCCCACTCCCTTCTTGCCCATGGGCTGCCTCCCAGGGCTACTCTGAGCTCTGCAAAGCCCCTTCCTCTTTGTGTTAGAGGACATTCATGTCAGGCTCCTGCAGAACCCACCTACCCACCCTTTCAGGTTTGCATTTACACCACAGTGCATTTCCCCCCACCTTTTGTGTCCTCCCATGATCATCCCTCTCTCCACAATTCCCAGACACTGATCATTTCTCTGGCCCCTCCTGGTTACATTTCCCCCCCATTGAGTCTTTTCCCCTTATTTCATGTGCTCCGTGTTTCTCTCTGTGCTTGTCCAGGAGGTTCTGTGGACTTTCCCTGCTGCTGAGGAAGGATTTCACCCCCTGCAAGTGGGCAGGAGTTGGTTTGTGAGCACTGGATCCATCTGGAGCCCCTGGGAGAGCTAATGTGATTCCAGTTCCTGCTCTGCTCATCATGCTCCATCCCTAACTCATCCCAGATGCTGGGATGGTTGTGCTGAGCAGCCTGGCAGGATGATGCTCTCAGATTTCTCCCAGTTTTTAAAATCATTATTGCTGTAAGGAGACTGTCAGCAGATGACTGTTATCTGGCTTGAAAATGCCTCCAGAGCACAGCTCAGGTTTCACATCTGCTGCTGCCTCTCAAGCCTTGGGCAACTGTTGGTGGTGGAGCTAATTCTGGGGTCTTTCTTTCCCCCCACCCTATAAGGAAGAGCCTCATGTGATGCTATTTCTACTCCTTTTGCTCTCCCACAGCTTCGTGTGGTGACGTTTGGTTTCTGAGCTGGGAGATCCACTGGGACCCACCTGTTGGGGACCCCAAGTGCCACGGGAGCACAGCACACGCTTGGGTACCTTCTGGACCTTGGGGTCTGAGACCACCAACCCAGTCTGGGGAAAAGGCAGCACCAGGCTAGAGCAGCTGGGTGGGTCAGCTGAACATGGGTGTGCACAGGCTCCCCCCTCCATCTCTGACCTGGCCACCTGAGATCTAGATACTGCCCCACAGAGCAGAGCCCCCAGACCCTCCCCACTGTCCTTGTGTCTCTGGGGTTTTCAGAGGCCTCCAGATGGTTTAGGAGGTTCCCCTGGCAAACGGCAGAACCAGGTGCTCTGCAAAGTCTTGGGGATGAGCCAGGAGATGCCAGGATCCTGCCTGCCCCCCCCCCCCAGTCCTCACTGCTGGGTCCCAGCTGTGAGGAAACCATAATGGGGAGGAACAGAGGAAAAGTGAGAAGTTCTTTTTCTGGGCTGCTCTGGGGGGTCTCAGGCTGACTCTTTAATCAGTTCTGCTCTTTAACCTCAGCAGGGGACCCCCCCCAGGTGATGCTCATGGACCACGTTCACCAGGAGCAGAGTCCTCCATCATACGTGGCCACGGGTGGGAAGGGAGGCTGAGGGGCACGTGCAGGGTGCACTTGGCAGGCAGGTTTTGTTGGAGGCTTTGGGCTGCCCAGATTTCATGCAGGGGGCTGGGAGGCCCCAAGAAACTGAGTAAGCTGGGGGGCTGGAGACAGCCCCTGTTCCTTGGGAAAGGGAGCCCACTCACCCTGCTGTGGCTCCGGTGTCCTGGAGGTCCCGGTGGTCCTGGGGGTCCTGGGGGTCCTGGGGGTCCCGAAGGTCCTGGGGGTCCCAAAGGCCCCGGAGGTCCTTGAGGGTCCTGGAGGTCCCAGAGGTCCTGGGGGTCTCAGAGGTCCTGGGGGTCCCGGA